AACTTGAACAGATACTTTCAAAACTAAAGATGCACTATCCTTACAAACTTTCAAAATATGAAAACCAAACTGTTAAAATTCTTATATCTACAAAGCTCTGAATTCGTAGTCAAATTTATACATCAAAACCCAAATTCTTGGATCACGACATTCGATCCTTTAAAAATTCAACCCAGCAAACATTGTCACCTATAATCCTTTAAACCTCAACACCCTAATAACCAAAACCTTGACTTTTGAGATTCCTAAAAAACACAAACCTGGTCCAGCTTCACGGCAGTCAATGTTGAAATGTGTGGGCGTGTTGGATCTGACACCACGCTCCACTCCAGGTCCAAAGACCTTGACTGCTCCAGGATCAGTGGGTTCAGACACAAACACCCTGTAGGGGGAATTCTCACAGGCAACTCCTCCATAGGCCACCTGTGGGTTCAGATGTTTATAAAATCTCTTAGCAATGTCAAAAATGAATAGTATAATATAACAGCAATAATCAAATGATTATGCTTTTATAATAATCTCTAAGTACTGGTATACATATATTTTACTGGTTATATGGTTGTCTATGCAAATCTGAATAATCATAAACTACATGAATGTCTTTTTCCATACATTACAATATATATGCATATATTACTCAAAATATTACAAAAAGAAAATATTTTAAACATCAAAAAAAAAAAATCTAAACAAATGCCTTCCTTACCTGAACTGTATGTTTGTTCCCTCTAGTAGGTTTGTAAGAGAAATCATAGGTTCCATTCTTGTTATCCTTAGCATCCAATTTCACTGGCTGGTAGTTTGCGTCCATGACTGTGACATCTAGTGGAGCCTCACCAGCTGCTCTCGTGTCCACATGGAAGTCTGCAGGCTTGCCAGAGACCACACCATTCTTCTCCAAGCCTGGGCCCTTGCATTTCACCTTTGAATTCAAAGGAAAAAAAGTTATGGGGGGAAATGTCTATAGGTTGTGCATGGATACTTACTACATAGTCTGCTGACTGTGATTACATCTTCAGAAAAAAAAAAGTTATGAAACTCAATTTCTAATGGGAATTGGTGACTACTGATTACATCATCTAATGAAATGTTAAAAGTGCCTTTCTTTGGTACATATATGGAAGAAGCTCCATCTCTGAAGAAGAACATAAGTATATCTTCATGATAAACATATGAATGTTGATCAAGTATAAAAAGTAATTAGGCCCTTTGCCAGTCATACAAGTATTTGCAACAACGGCTACACTAAATAATAAAAAACACTAATTCTAAGCTAAATAAAATTCTCCTAAATCTTTAAGTAAGAGATACCATTAATTCAATATACATAAAGACAATAAATACATAAAGAAAATGTGCATGCTCTAAAAATTTGCTTAAGCTTGCATCTATTTTTCTCTCCCATCTTTTTCGTCGTTCCTTTTCACACACACCTTCTCAGGGTAATAATCCGTCTTAGGAAGAATTTGAGCAATGTATGGAGATCCAGGAACATCTTTGTTGTTGCAGAGGATGTGGAGAGCGTACTCGCCAGGGGCCGTGGGGAAGTAACGCACGTCAGCTGACCCATCACCATTGTCATTACATTCGATCCTCGCCTGTGATGGTCCCTCTATACTGAAACCTTGGGAGAGAAAGCAGGATGAGATAATGGGGACTAAGGGAGGAGAAAAAAGGGAAATGTGGGAATGGAGGAATGGGTGGTTTTAATAGGTTTGTCCCTCACACCCATAAATAAAACATAACGTTTATCCATTTACTACAAAATAATCACTTACTTCCTATTATATACATAAAATGTCAAAAACACTTTCACTAATACATAAAACTTAAATACTTTATTCTCTCAGCTTAAATCAAGTGTTTTATCTAAAGTGCCTTATTATCCCGCTGAGAAACATTTTCCAGGAATAAGAAAACAAACAAAAGAAAAAGAAAAAAAAAATGGCCAACATCTAACTCAATCAAATTCCTTACCTAAAGCACCAGTTTCTCCATTTGTTTCCACAGTAAAGAGGGCAGGATACCCTACAACACCTCCCTTCAGGCCAGGACCATAAGCCCTGATCTTTGTCTCCTTGTAAGGTCCAACGTTTACCTGTAATGATAAAAAAGATTCAAAAGTTACTCATCATTTCTTAGTTTTTTTCTTTCTTATAATTCTATAAGAAAAAATCTATACAAATAAGTTCATAACATACTATCTTAATAACATTTCTAGCACTAATAATTATAGTACTTAAGTTTGTCACCTACTTATTCTAGCTGACAAGGCTTCCAAAATACAAAACAAAAGCTTTCATGTTTCTTAATAATCCTCACCTCAAATGGACTCTTGGGGATCTCCTCGCCACCATACGTCACCATGACAATGTACCGCCCTTCCTTCCATGGGTGGTAGACATACTCAAAAGTATATTCGTCTATCTGCTTCATCCGGACTGACTCCTCTTTGCCCCCTGTAAAGGAATTTTGGATTAGATATATGTTGGATATCCTT